CAGAGAAAATAATGCAGTAACAGAGTAACAGCCAAAAAAAAAAAAAAAAGAGTTTTTTTTCCTCTTTAACCAGTCATAGACTTGGCTATATTATTGGTGTTAACATTCAGCCTTTCTACATCTGGTAACAGTGGAAGAATATTATTAAGTTGGAAGAACAGAAGATCAGCATTTAAAATTGGAAAATCTTAACAGGGATTCATAGTAAAGGAAAAAAAAAACGCAGTAAAGGAAAAAACATGGATAAATAAGAGTGTGATTATGCTGCGAGCGGGGAGGGAGGAAGCTACCTAACCAGTAAAGATTTATGACAGACTAAACTTACTCCACAGTACATCTCTGTTTTGGCCATCTATAATATATTAATTCATTGAGCCTCATCTGGGCCATTTCGGAACACAGGGAATATTCTAACAGTCAAGGGGAAGAGTTCAGTTTCTGCAGGAAGTCAGAAAAATAGGACACTGCAGTCTACGGGGTACTGGAAGAAAAAAAGACCATAGTGACAATAGAGGCAACCCGTGTACTGTCTTCACATGCATTTTAAAACCAGCTCTTAAAGTTTCATATAGTTTCTCTAGGCTGGACGTGCTGGTACACACATTAGAAGGCATACTTCTGTTAAAGACAGCCTTCACAGATGTAAATGAGCATTAAAGCAGTCAGGAAAAAGCAGCAACTTTGAGAAGGAATATAAGGAGACGAGAAAAAAAAAAAAACTGAAACAGAAGTCAGCAGCAATTACTAGACTAAAAGTCCAAGCATGTTGCATATTAACGGATGTGAGTGGCTTTAACAAAGCATGTTTTTGTATGAGCCCATGTTTTGGTCCATTTATGCCTGAACAAACTAACTGTCAGTGATGGAATGACTGGCTCTGCAGCTAAGGGAGTGCACTGGATACTTTGATGTTTCCTGTGCCACCTCCTCAAGCTGCCTGCCAAACATCTCTAATGGAGGAACCAAGGACAGCTGTCCCAGGGTGATGGTGGCATCTTGTGGTTGCCTCCACCCTGCTGAGGAATCATGGCCAAATCTCGGCGATAAGGGGCTAGGAGGAAATTAGCTTACCCAAATTGACTTCTGAGCTCTACCTATTTAGGCTCTATCTATTACCTCTTACCAGATATAACATGGCATATTTGCTGTTGAGTGAGGACAGCTTTGCTTGTCACACTCCCTTGGCCATTCGAGGCATTTGATGGCTGGAGGAGACCTATCCAAGAGTTTCATCCTGAGCCAGCACCTGTGCTCCCTGGTCATTGGATCAAGGAATACACCATGCTGAGGTCCTCTGGCCATGTGTAGAATGTGTAGCAAGGCCAATCCACAAGTCCACTGCTTGTCCTCACAAGACAGTGCATGCATGCTACTTACCTTTAGTTCTAAAGCAGAGGAGAACTCTCCACAGAAATGGTGAGTCTGCTCAGTCTTCCAGAACTCGCAAGGTCCTCAGGCCCTCAACTAACACTATCTTTTTTAATTACCAAATAAATTCCCAGAGAGTTGGATCCTATCTTCTACTGCACATTTAACTTGTCTATTTAAACAGAGCAGCATATGAACATTTTCCTCTGCCAGGACACAGAAACAGTGCTAACACACTGAAGTAAAAACTGAGTGGCTCGAACCTTTCCTTATTGTATCTTAATAATTAACTCTATATACATAAGACAACAAAAATCTTCCCAAAGAAAATAGATGATATTTTCATAGAAATCTTCCACTTAGCCTCCACAAACATGACACTTAAACATTAATCAAATTAATGTGTGCCAAGGAATCTTGCCAAAGCCTAGAAAAGATGCTATACACATGTTTAGAAAAGCACATAAATGTTTATATTTTTGAACCTCATGATACGTAAGTCTATATATCACTGCTATTTAGAGCATCTGCTTTTACACACCATAAGAAAATGTCAAACATTCAACTATGTTGAGCCAAGTAATATAAAATGCACTGAAAATACAAAAGTGTACTCTGAAAAGACTATTTGCCCAGTGGCATACATTTTTTACCTGAATTATTGAAGGAATTTCTAACTTTTTTTCTTCAAGTGAAGGTAATTTTGAGAAATATTGAAATATGCAATTTAAATAAATCACAGGTCTCTAGATAAAAATAGATATTTAGCTCAATTAATTCAAAAGAGGAACTTTAAATCTTATGAGATTTCAGAGTAAGGCAAAGGGATTTAAGTATTTAATCCAGTAGCAACTTAGAAAACTGACTTGTTTTCTCACCTTTTTTAACAGCTATTACTATTTGCAGCAATTTCAATACGGAGCCCTGCAGGAAACATCTGCAACCTCCAGGACCCTATTAGGAAGAATAGGGTTCCCTAAAAGACTAGCTTGCATAAAAGAAATCTGTTATGCTTTTCTTTACTAAGACAAATGCAGGAAAGCAGCTAAGAGAATAAAATACTCTACTTTGCAGTAAATTGCACTAGGTTCAGATCTAACCCCGTTGTTAGGTATAGCAACTGAAAAACTGAAGCAGGAAGAATTTTCATGCTCAGAGTCAAAACTAGATCTATATCAAGCAGTAGGTAGGTAAACTTGGAGCAAAAGTTCTCTATCTTACTCCCAAGGAAAAATATAACCATATTTCACACTGCAAATACAATACCTTCAATACATGCATTCCTTCCACAAAATGACTATTGCTTTTTTCCAGTTAAGAAAAAAAAGTATGTTTGGGCTTGAAAAAGACATGACTAAACAAATATGTGACATTGTGTCTACATTTATTTAAATGCTAAATTTTAATTAACACTGTATAATTAGTACATATGACCTAAAGGAGTATATTTTTGTTTCATAGTAGATAGGATAGAAACTCTCCACTGCTTTATGAAACAGTCAACAAAGAAATTTTATGATATTTAATAAAGGGATTAGCAAGTGGTCAAAGAAACAGCATGAGTATTTCCAGCTTAAATAGTTACCTGAAAAAAGCAGTGATTATAACCTTAGAACATGCCAGAGCTCTGAGGAAGAACTAAGCTGTGGGCCCCTCAGAGCATGCTCAAATACAAAGTCCTAAAGTACGTATTTATAACTTAAGCCTTAGTCTAAACACCAGAAAAAGCAATGAGATTTAAAACCTTAACGTCGAGCAAATACTTAAATGTTGTTCTGAAGAGCAGTTGAATCTAGATCATGATGATGGTGAAAATGTGACAAATACGAATGCTGCAAGACTATAATCTTTCAGTTTTGCCTTAGCATCTGTGGTCTCACTGGAGAACCAATCCGAACTTACTTATTATAATGTAGCTATTTATGAAGTGTAATCCTGTGTTCATTTATTTTAAATTATATTTAGAAGTAATACAAAAGAATTCTATATTACTTGAGATATATTGGCAATATTGTCAAATACACTTAAAGGAACATTCTAGCAAAATATGTTCTAACGGGAATTTCTGCAGACTGAAATTTCATCTCATAGTATTTTATCCATTTTCTATATTTAAACTTCTGACAGATATTTCTAACAGCCACTACCAACAAAAGACTGTTATAAAATCAATTAAAGCCATGCATCGGTGAAGTTGAGCTACGAAAGAATACCGTAAATGGTTCTGTCCCCTGGCTACACCAAGCCTTTTACTCAGAAAGGGCTGAAGCACCCATTTCTGCTTAGAACTTTTGCACAGTCACATCCATGTGCCAATCACAAGAAAAAATGCTACTCAGTTATGGGGACTTCAGCAGTTTCCAGTTACCCTAATGAACACACTATTTTTGAAAATAAACAAAGTAGAGCAATGAATATCAAGAAACTTCCTTATGACAGTCTATCTTCATATTTAATGAACGAAGAACAATGTCCATAAATCTGATTTCACTAATGCTTTCAAACCACTGAGCACTGCAGATTTTTTTTGTGTGTTCTACACAGCTATATAAACCAAGTAGCCCTAACAAGGGGGATTAAGTTCACCAGAGAAGGAGGGGCAAGCAAAAGGCATACTAATCATAATGAAATATAAAAATTAGGCAAGAATTATTTAAGATGCTTTCCTTCTGGTCCATGTTACATTGATCCAAGAGAAGCTGAAAATGGAGCATTTTGCTTTTAAAGTGCAACTAGTAAATAGCTATTTTATATCTTCTTTTTCGATCTTTAGGACTCTCACTGCTTCAGTAGTAACTACTTACTGACATTAAAAGTCTCTCCAGGGAAAAAATCTGGAAGTACCCTTTACTTGACAAATATTTGTAACTCCAAAAATTCTGAAACATGATTGTGGATTTGTTCAGTTTAGGAGGTGTTTTTAAATTCCTTTTTACATGAGAAATTAACCCATGTGATTTCATCATTACTTCTGTGTTTACCACAAATTTCTGCAGAAATTGAATCATCTATCTGCAAGTTCAGAATCAATCTGGCTGCTCAAGTACTACCTGCACAGCTCAAGGAAATGCTGAAGTGCCTAACAAAACTCACATTAGCCTTCTTTCTTCCTCAAATTAAAAAAAAAAAAGTGCTGTTAAAAAATTTCTGTTCATGACAGCATGATATTACACTTTTATACCTTTAGCTCTGCCGAATGATCACTATGTTGCACTACTTTGAGGAATGTAATTTGCACCGGGGGAGAAAGATTTTCACAGTATCTTTTGATCCCTATTTTAAGTGTATACACATGGATACACACTTCCTTTCCTAAAAGGAAGATCTTCTTGCATCTGCAAAGAGAAGTTTGAAAGTTGGAGATAAATGAATCTGAGACATCGGATAAAAGCATTCAAAGCAAATGAGATATTCTGCTTCAAGCACCTGAAACAGTTTGTTCAAATCACTTCTACATGCATCCAAAGTAGTGCTGAATAGAACAGCTACTTGTGTAGTTGAAGCTTTTAAAGAGATATAGCAGCTTCAAAACGCTTTATGCTAACTCATCTTCCATTGGTTTACTATTGAAAATGTAGCGGTAAGTTTTCAAAGCATCCAGAAGAACAGTAAGATTCTAAAAATTATCATACCTGAAACAGCAAGAAAATCATCAATGCTTGTTATATCATCCACAGCTTCAGTGAGAACATGGATGTGATTCTCCCATGTACTCCTGTACATCTCCATGTTGTTTTTTACAACTTGACTTTTTGGTCTGGCAGCAAGAGCTAAAGCAGCATTAATAACCTGCAGCCAAAAACAAAAAAACAACACCTAAGTACTTACACTCTCTGTAAGAATGATGATTTTTACTTTTTAATACAAACCATAAAGCAGCATTTCTGTTTTTTTTTTTTTTCTTCCTCACAGTAGGAACAACAGTCAGATGTCGCTTAGGTTAATCTCTCTGTTGTCTCTAATAGAATGACTAACAGAATAGGCAATTATTTACTTACTTTTCTATTATTTTACTTATATTACTTATTTTTTTAATTGCGAGATCCATTCTATTTCAATTTGATATTAACAAAGGAAGTTTTTACTTTCATATGGTATACTTACAGGTGCAGCATACTGACAGTTTCACTCCTTAAAAATAGACACACCACCATCTATTACGGAGTATCTTTACCGAGACAGGTCATTTGCCTTTGTCATGTAAAAGTATCATGTTTTGCCAATACAACACAGAACTCTAAGATCAGCAAATTAGGACATAGCATATATTATACCTATATAGAACAGACAGGTATTTCTTTATCTGTCGGGCTTAAAAATAGTAACTATATTAAAATGAAGAGGGCGGGTTCTATCCTTTCTAGCAAGGATGAATTTAGGAGGGAAACATTAGTACAAAATTATTATTTCATAGATACCACTTCTGACAACTAATTAACTGAAGGCTTTTTCCCAATTTGGCCATTTGCTGAGGTTATAGTAAAAAAAAAAAAAAAAAAAAAACACTAGAAATCAAGCAAGTTTCCAAAGTACACTCTGAAAATCATCTTTTTGGAAAGAGTAATCGTTATGCTCACAAACATAAACTTCCATATGTAAGAGCATAAACCCATCACTAACTGCCTGAAGAACTTAGAATTTCCTTCAAAAATGCTATGGGACACTGTCAGACATGCTACACTTAACTATTTGCACAGTGAAGCCAATAGGGCAAAATTTACTTATGCCTCAGTAAACCACGGCTTACAAAACAGTGCCTCTAGTTCATTTTGGAATTATTTTTATGTGAAATATTTCTAGTCATGAAGAATCAAGCAATTAAAACGTTCTGGGAAGATCAATGATTTCACAGCTCTGCAACATGTTTCATCATTTGGAAGGAGGAGACTGGTTAGAAGCTAAAGCTAGACTTCCTATAGTTTAGTTGTGTCACGGAGACAGACATCTATTTAGGGGCACTATTAGTCAAGGAGGTTTATGATTAATGACCCCATCTCATCCCTCACTCTATCTAAACTGCACACTTACCTACTACTTTTTCTATTGCACATGGTATTATTGTTTCCATGTCTTTAGTCCTCTGATGCATTTTCCTCATGCTGAAAGCCAGCAGGATAGTAACTTAAAACAGGATTGAGAAAGAGAAAAGCTACTGCCTACAACAGAGAAGAGTCTTAGCCGTTAAAGAAGCATTCAAGAAAAAGGAGGAGGAGGGGAAAAAAAAGATGAAACAGAAATGGAGAAATTGGTGATTCTGTGGAGTGTTATTGAGTACTTACACATGCCACGATTTACATATTGATCAAATGAATGTTGGGAGGATGAAGAATGCTTCCCAGAAACTAAGCTAGTGTGACTGAATTCTAAGTTAGTGTGACTGCAATTACTAGTTTATAATTTGTTTTGCCTTTTTTTGCAAAAACAGTAGAAAGGAGATTAGAAGTGGTGTTATTAGAAACACACATACATTATCACTATATGATGCATAAAATGAACACACATGTTGTAATTTGTCTCAAAGCATCTAGCAAGTGTTGTATCACACAACAATTTTCAAAGAAAAAAGTTTTATTTGAAATTATTCCGTTTAAAATAGCAATGAGAGTTTTAAGAATGTAAGTCAGGCTGCTGCTTCTAAATCAGTGAGACGGGCTTCTGTGCGTCAGTCTCAGTAACACTGCACAATTATGTAACAATTACAGGAATCAGAAAAACTGATTCAGTACTTCCTATTCTATGGTTGCTTCCAGTGTTGTGCTTACTGACGTGTTTTCTGATGGCATTTGATTTGGAATTGAGCAGAGCAGATTGTCGAATTGCCAGATATATTTTGTGTTTGATCATTATACAAATATAACAGACATGTAAATCACTTGCAGATTATCTACTTCTCTTTGCTTCCTTAATGACATTTTAGCAAAACTGTTTCCAGGAAGAAACTATGAAAACACAAGAAGGGTAGTCATCTGCTGCCTTGAATTTATTGCTCCTTCCATGGAAATCATTCAAAGGCACAAAAAACATGGAAGCTGACAGTCAATGTGATGCAGCCATAATCTGTAGAAAGATTTCTCTCTCCACCCTCTAGGTCAGACATTTCCCTGAGAGGTGCTGCAAATATCCAAATTCACTAACTCCACTCCTGCACCACCACTTAAGACAATTCTCTCCAGTAGCACCTTTCAGCACTGGCTCTGCAGGTTGCGTGTACCATGAAATCAGAAGCAGCTTTGCATCTAAAGAATTTCACTTTAGATGTACTGATTTTCAGATGTAAATTTATAAAAGTCCCACTGTACTTAATTTATAGAAGTCATGAGGAAATCACAAAATTGCAATCACAGGTTTTAGTGTGTTTCCCTGGGCTTTTTTTGAAAAGCTTTCTTTCTCTCACCCCCGCTCCCACCCCCCGCCGCCTCCATAATACCCCTCTCTGCTTGGCGTGCTCCTGGTATAATGGCCAGCAATAAAAGTTCTATCCAGATGGCAGAAAAGACCACAAATTTGTGGAGAGAAGTCTGATTGGATCTTGAATGGCTGGTTCACCTGTAATGTTTTGTAGTTGCTGTTTGAACCTTGCCTGCCACAGTACCAGACTTAATGCTTTTGTCTGTTCCCCCTCAACTACCCCAGAAGCTCTGGGGATCCCCATTAAATAACCAATCCTCCATCTGACATGAACAGGACTCAAAAGCTGGGGGAGTGGCTGACATTAGCAGTCTGCCAAATCCATGAAACAAAGCTGTGCCACAGATAGAACTGTATCTCAGTAGTGTCATTTTAGGCCCCTGCTTCAACACAAGGAACATGTTGTATTTTGTTGTAATGTATCTTGTAATTAAAATAGAAGGAAATGGAATTTTATTATTAATGCCCTCTCTGAGTATTTATATTTTCTGAGATTTATTCCTTTTCATTCCTCCCCTCTCTTCAGAGTACCATGAAAACATCAATTTCATAAAGGTGGTATTATTTTGTTGTCATGTCCTACTGCAAGCTTGCCTATCGTAGGTCCATCCTCCTCTCCTGAGGAGATGAGAAGAAACTCAGTAATTTTCTTATGGCATCAAGTCTCTAATAATAATGTTTGATTGCCTTTCTTTCCCTCTCTAGCAATTCTGGCACAGGTCTGTCACCAAAACATGTGGCATCTGTGAAAAACTTACAAAGTCAGAAAAAAGAATGAAGTTGGAGAGAAAAAAATACCTTTCTGGGAAAAAGGCTTTCAGATTTTAAGAGCACAGAGAGAAATAAATTGTTTATAGAACATTAACCGCATTTTTGTACAGTATGAATTTACAGTGAATGTGTTCCAGGAACTTTAAAAAAACTCATTCTTATGACTTCCTAATGCCTGTGCTGCCTGCAGGTGGGGCAAGCAGAGAGTAAAACAGAAGGCTTGTGTATTGCTACAGAAGATGAGGCCTCTCGATATGTCTGGTTGGTATTTTAATATTACAAACTGCAAACTTGTTGAGGATTCTTTTCTAACACAACAGATGCTGCAACCTGAAAGTTAAGACCAAAAACCTCAAGGCATTTTGTAGTTAATTATTCTCTCTCTGAATACTATCAAAGAAGAGCCAAGCAGCCATCATGAGACTTTCAGGGGAATTCAAGAGTTGTAGTTTAAGGTGCTGTTTTGTTTTTAACTTAAAACTCTAATTGGAAAAATTCAAGTAAAAGCAAGCACCCAAAGAAGCCTATCTGCATAAACACAGAATGGACTTTCCAATACTTTACAGCGGTCCCCAGCTCTAGCCACCACTGTACCACAACCAAGTAAAAATGTCCCACACTCACCACACCTACTACAAGTAAGGGTGACTTACTGCAGAGAGCTCACAAGTGAAATCATGTGATTTGAGTTCCTCTTTATTTCCATTGTTCTACTGAGAACAAGAAAGTACTAAGCAGTTTGTACAGTTTGCCTTAGCACAGAAAGCAAACACATATTTTGATCACTGAATTTCAGAGGCTAAAGTATAGATTTTTCTAAAAAGTTATTTTATCATTTGATCTGCATTACCTCACGAGGTCTGTGTATAAAATCTGGACAGAGAGGAGTAAATTATAGAGCCCAGTGAAATCAGCTTGTGTGTCCTTGCTAACAGCAGTTGGAACAAAACAACAACAGGGGCTCTGCCTCAAGAATCAGTTTAGTTTCATAAACATGGGATCTAAAATACACTTATTTTTTGTTAATCAGGTCTTTCAACATGACTACTTTTTAATAATTTTAATAACATACTTCACCAGTCTTATGAGTTATCAGACCTGGTATGAAAGATTCACAGGAGGTTTTACAATATCTCAAAACTAAGTTTGCTCTAATGAACCACTTATCCAAGTCCTTTTTACTTATCAAGCTGATAGAATCAAAGCCTAAAAAAATCTCCATTTCTCATTCCTCTTTTTAATATAGCTGCAGATTTACAAATGCAGTTTAGACCCTTTAGAGTGTCTGTTACAGCCTCTTCCAGACAGCCAAAGTAGAGGTGTAGTAAGAACAGAATTCAAACAATCTTCAGCAAACTCCTCTGTTCATAGAGTAAGTCACTTGACCTTCTTGTGTAAATATTTTGGCAAGGCACAACAGGAACCATAAGGCACAATGCAGGGTGGAGAAAGTGTAAGCATTAAATGAATTACAGACAATCTGCTGAATGGGAAATATAATGATTTTAAATACTCATTTTATGCATTTAAACGTCCCTTTACTGAATTTTACAAATTCAACAAACTAATACAAATAGTCTTTGACAAGAAACTTGATGAGCTCAACAGGCATTCCACTCTAGAGCAATCTTAGGATTCCAACCATTGAGGTACTATAGACACAAAGAGAACTAGCACTCCAACTTCTAAACAAATAAAACAAAAACCTAACAAAGCTCAACTAATTCTTTAGAATCTTTTTTTAGGGGGCGGGGTGGGGGGCAATTAGGCATCAAGGCAAATACTGATGTCTATTGCAATTATACATGTAAGAGAGGATACAAAGCTCTTGGGTTCTCAGAAGAAATATAGCCTTAGATAGAGTGCTGGGGCTAGGGGAAGCTAACCTCCATTTCATCAAGACATTCAATGGGCAGATCCTGCCATATAGTTTACAAGTCTTGTTCTCAGCTACCTCATATAATGGCCGTGGAATGATGTGTAGTATTACAGGACAGCCTAGTCTGCACAGTATGATGTTCTTTTTCAAAACAAGCATGAGGATGCCCTTGGCATCACAGCTTAGCACAGAAGGCAAACACAGTAATCTACTTGGATATAAGAGCAAACAGGTCTTGCAATACCTGTTTAGGTCATATTTTACTGTTAATGTACACTCAGGTCCTTCATAAACAGGTCCTTCAAAAAAAGTGTAGGGTTGTGGTAAGTGAAAGACAGCTATAATGACTCAGTTCTTTCACAGAACCCTGGTCAGACAACAAGCTGGAACATAACAAATTTTATAGCCTTTTTTCCCTAACTTCTGCCTTTTGGCTTAAGCGTGTCAGGCACGGCTTTTGGGCCACCTTAAAGTATCTTAGGCCAAAGTGGAGGTATATGTAAATAAAGAATCCAGACAAAGATAAACCTGCACCCTTGGATGCTAGTCTCCTACATTTAGGACGTTTTCAATCTTACTCAACTCTGAAAGGTTTAACATTTATCAGCAATCTTCATTTATTTCAGAGGAACAAGAGGAGCCAAAGATTTCTTAAAATGTACCACAGAAGTGAAACATAAAGGTAATAACCTCAAATTCTAGATTAAGAAATAATTCTGCAGCTTTCTGACTTTGCTGCTCAAAACCAGAAATGTGTTTGCTTGCTTCTCCAGATATTCTTGTCAGTATTTATGCAAAAAAAGCCAAGAAATCTTCCCTCCCAAATGCTAATAACAATTTGGCTAGAAATGACTTCTCTTTTTGTCAAATATCTTAGCTGCTCTTTATTTATTCTATTACTATAGATAAAATATCTGTACTTCAAAAGTTAATTGCTCATGAAATATTCATGCAAATACAGGAATAGTAAACAATATGTTTTCATAACACACAATTGCTTTTGCGGAATATCTCAAAATATTTCAACCCTCTTTTTTTTTTAAAGGACAAAACAGTACCATCAGTGTAACATACGTGTTTGAATTCTAATAATACGTGTATGAATTCTAATAATATAAGGGCTTCCCTCCAGGGTTGGCAAATTCTGTATCTGCCTTTTTTTCTGCTGCTATGGAGAAAAGTTTACTGCTCAAAACTGCAAAACTCCAAGACTACAAGTTTTTTTTTTTCTGGTTTGGAAGCCTTCTTAATTCACCCTATCCAAATTTCAATGCAAACATGACTTCCTTCAAACAAGGTACCCTTCAGAGTATATGTCAGAGAATAAAAAGTAGTTTTTTTTTTTTTTTTTTTTTTTTTTTACCATAAAGATCTAGAGACCACTGGGGAGTTCTGCGTGCAGATTTCCCCCCTCCAAACTCTATTTGATGTGCCTTACAGAGATCTTCAGAGACGATTATTTCCCCCGTGGGAAATTTTTAAATGATATAAGAAAATCTGCTTACAGTAGAAAAAGCAGGAGCCTTCTGTTATTTCTTACTTAAATAAAACACCAATTGCTTTCCGAAGACATGATGTTTGTCTTAGAAAGAAGCAAACCCTGCATGACGAATACCTCCCCAATAATTACATAATCTGAACGCGTGCATACCACATTCACCATTTAGACAAATCAATAGCCATCAGTGAATTCATCCCAGTTTTATCCATGAAGTAAAAAAACAAAGTCAGAATCAAACAAACTTCCATTTTACTCCATGAAATTAAAAACCTATAAGCTTAAATGGCTGTGGAGAAAAATCGATGTTGAAGTAAAAATGGTTTGGAATTTCTGGTACCAGATTCAATACTTGAAGTGCATGTTTTTCAATAAAAAGAAACAAAATTCCATCTGGATGCATAATAATGTATTTAAAATGTGCATTTGTACCCTCAGAGAAACAAAGACTCCGGAGGAAACTGTTCATAAAAATCTTATTTCAAGACTAAAACCAGCAATAAATTAAAGCAAAGAGTGGGATGGAAAATACCAAACTGTAAAAACATTATAGAAATAGACACAAACTGAACAATTTAAGAGAAAACACTGTGGTCTGTGATATTTTCAGACTATCACATTTTCTTGATGTTCCTCTCAGTCTTGCCATTTACTCAACAGGCATAAAATGGACTCCTCAACCTTGTAATTGAACATATTAATATTTGCTCTTCACTTTCTATTTCAACTGCATTTATCATTCAAACATGTTAAGCAGTATGAATATTGAGGCCCATACTGTTCTTTTAAGAACTAATGGTCTTATATTTATACAGCCTCAAGGTTGAAGAACCCAAATCAGATTCACACAAATTGATGTTTTGCTTTAAATAGATCACAGTTGCCGAATTTTGTATTTATGTAACTTTAAATATGACAAATATAGAGGAGAATACCATTTTGATACATTCTTTGGTAAGGTATTAGTATTTGGAGTTGTGCATTCAATTGCTTAAGGCAAAAAATCTCAAGCTTTTAGACTGCTGTTAGTAAGATAAATTCACAATGGAATATACATGCACACTAAGTCAAGATGCAGTAATACTTCCTAAACTATAACAACCATGTTACTACAGGATATAAATATATTAACTGATTTTTTTGCTGCTGAGTTATTCTTTGGTCTCAATTTAACTGAATTTTAGTGTGAATTGTGTACAAGTTTTAGTTTGAAGGACTATGAATAAACATCTGTGTTGTGTAACAAAAATAAAGCATAAACCTAGTGCACTATAATGGAAATTAATTTAAAAAGTCATACCTGTGGGCACAAAATCTCTATATGATTAGCTGCCATTTGGACAATTTTCATTCCATCTTCATTTGTTGACAATGAACAAGCAAGATTAGCAACCTTAAATAAATGAAAAACAACAACAATCAAAAAAAACATTTTGTAAGTATGTATTCATCTCCAGACTCTATAATACACCAAAAATATACCTGCTAGAAAACTCACTTCTTGTTAGGGGAAAAAACATTTATTCATGTCTTGGCCAAAAATACATTTGAACAAGAAATTCAGAAGAAAAGCATGGTGGAAATGAGAAAAGGGGTGACATGAACAAGAAATCTCATGACCTGTCCCCAGCTGAGGGGTTCTGCACTTAATAGCAGTAGCCTGGTGTTCTCTTCTGTTTGGACACTGTTAGGAGATTTCAAATTCATATCCTAAGGCTTCAGGCAGATTGCTTGTGGTTTCCTCATTTTTCTGAGCCTTTCAAACCACGTGCACCCAAGGCTTTTTTTTTTATTATTATTTTATTTTTATTCCTTTATCTCCTAACTTTTAGGACTTAAAGACCCAATAACATTAGCCTTGTTTTGCCATAGGATACAGATAGAGCGATCTATGCCCTGAGCTACCCACAGATAACTACTTGAAACAGAGGTATGTTTTTCTACTAGAAGTCTTACACTACAGCCTATACTGAAGATGTACTTCTATGGACAACATGGTTTCTTATACATGCCTAAGACCCATTCTATTTTACTATACACCATGGAAAAAACGCAACTTCCTTTACAGTATACATATATAAAAAAAATCCAATCCAGGTACTTCATGGTTCTACCAACTTGATGAAATAAAAGAAAAAGAACCCATACCCACACTTCTTTGTAACTTGTCCTCAACAGGAGGCAATACATGCGCTTCACAGAGCCCACGATGAGTTGGGGTATGGGGATCTTGTAGACCTCATCATGTTAAGGTCATATAAGGCCCTTGTGTAAACAATTGCACTTAATTGGGAACAGTTAAGCAACACATCCATTGCTAAATTAGCTCTATTCTATACAAGTCCCACTAATGTTTCATGGATCAGGAATTGCCTTCTATAACACTCTAAGTATCAACACAGATATAAATATTCATGGTTATTTCATAATTATTCAAAACTCATAGGGTGGTTTATATGGCTGAACTGCTAAAAAGTAAAAACAACTCCTCCTTTACTTAACTCAAGGATACTAGTATAAATGATCACCACTGAATTATTACTCATTTTTAACAAAGGCTTTTATTATTGTCGGTTAACTGGCATAAATAAACATTATCAGTTAGCCCAAGGCCACATAAATTATTTTACCCTACCAAAATTCATAAGCTGTGACTAAGAATGATGGCTAGAACCATAGCATTGCACATATCACTATGCTACCTAGAAACGCTTTACCTGCATAGCTGTAGTATTCCTAGACGAGTCATCTGTTCCCCATCTGCATGATATATAGTCTTGTCTGCTTAAAAGTTAGGGTTATTATTGAAGAAATCACTTCAAGAGTTCACACTGTATACTATATACAATTACTACAAATACTTTGGTATCATTCTAATACAACTCTAAGAGACACTTTACTCCCTCCTAAAAACAATTATTTTCCTTTGAGTTGAAAGTAAAGATTTTCCAATGTTGCTTACAAAAAGTAATTCATATAATTATAATACCGATTACTTTAGTTGATTTTTTGCCTCGGTCTCAGAACTGCTTGTGCGTTCCACATATAACAGCAGATTCATTCATGCTGCATTAATATACCAGCACATTAAAAAAAAAAAGTATTTTGAAAGGTTAAGTGCCCAAATGCTGATCTTTATCCTACAGAGCACCTCACTGCCTAAAGCAGTATCATTTCAAAGTGCAAAGGAAAATGCAGTACAAGCCATCCTCCAGAATAAAATACACATTCTCAGATATTTTTTCTTTTTAGCAGGAGGTTCCATGTTTCCAGTTTCATTGCATAGTTCATGAAGAAAACTCTATTTTTTGGGGATCTACTTGAAGTGCATACATGGTAGACAGATCCTAGTTTTCATTGTGCAAGAGTTCTACACTTAAGTTTTCTGCTATATGCAATAAATTCTTTTGACAGCCCGTGTCACAAAGTTGCGCCATACAATCATAATAATTTAGTTTAGAAGAGGCTTCCAGAAGTCATCCAGTCTCAGCCCTTCCTCAACTATGCACATGAATGCAGAACAAATCTGTGTCAATGGTTGCTATTGAAGCAGATCATCATCTTGGGATCAACTGAACAGATTTTACCGTGTCGTATCAAACACTAGAAGAAAAATAAATGTGGTCCTCTGGCTCACGCTCAGAGCATGACTGGAAAGGACCTCTTAATCTGCAAGTAATCACTTTTATTTGCAGTCAATTACCATGACATTTTTTTAATTTGAGAAAAAAAAAACACTTTCATGTTTTGTCTCTCCCCTCTTGACTCTTCAGTTTTAAGTATTAAGTTAAACAAGTCATTAAGTGAAACTTCAGTCTTAAGTTAAACAAATGTGTAACAGTACTATTAAAGCACTAGCAGCAAATTCTGGATATAAACATTAAGCACTTGAATCAAGCCACTTCACAAGTAAAATCTAATAAAGGTCCGTTTGTTGCAGAGAACAAAAGACAAAAATCATAGAGCATACATTTATTTAAGACTTCAAAAGAGGATTTTACACTCAAAAATATTTTTTACAAAAATCAATTAGAAAAGTAGTTGGCTAGTCACTCAAAATTGCACGTTTTACTGCATTACAACTTCTCTCTTGGTAATTAGAATTCATAACAACACTGTTATTACAACAGTAAAATTGGTATTTTGCCTAACACTTTGATTGACATGAAATCTTTGGTTTCCATTGAAAAAATACGTGTCCTGGTGAGGCCACATCTGCAGTACTGTGTCCAGTTCTGGGCTCCACAGTACAAGAGGGATGTGGAGCTGCTGGAGAGAGTCCAGCGCAGGGCTACAAGGATGATCAGGGGCCTGGAACATCTGCCCTATGAGGAGAGGCTGAGGGAGCTGGGCCTGTTCAGCCTGGAGAAGAGAAGGCTGAGAGGGGACCTGAGCAGTGTCTGTAAGTATTTCAAGGGAGGCAGTGAGGAGGACGGTGCTGGTCTCTTTTCAGTGGTGGCCACTGACAGAACTAGAGGAAACGGCCACAAACTGAAGCATCAAAAGTTCCACAGGAACTTAAGGAAAAATTTCTTGACAGTGAGGGTGACAGAGCACTGGAACAGGCTGCCCAGAGAGGTTGTGGAGTCTCCTTCTTTGGAGATCTTCCAAACCCACTTGGACGCAGTCTCGTGCCACGTGCTCCAGGTGACCCTGCGTGTGCAGGGGGGTTGGACTAGATGGCCTCTAGAGGTCCCTTCCAACCTTAAGCCTTTTATGATTCTATGAATAGGTAAATTTTTCTTCTGTTAGTACTTAAATGGAAACATTTGTGTGTGTGTATGTGTCTATATATACAGCTTATGCATAAGTAAAAATATTCTGTCAGACTCAGTAGAAGGTGCTTAGATTAATAGCTGCTCCACCTCAAATAATCAAGACTCCAATAAATCATTAGCATGGCCTCAACCATCTGTTGCACTGCTGGTCTTTTCCTCACTGCATCCTGAAAAGATTTCCTTACCACCACAATCTGTAACACTATAATCTATATAAATCATATAGAAAAAATTTAAACATGGCTGGAAAAGAATGAAAAAATCTGAAGTGTAATTTCTTAAAATGTAAGGTAGGGCTGAATTATTGCAGAACCTCAAATCACAGTCTTTTCTGAAGCTATCATGTTGCTAAAAAGGATGATGGGCTATTTCATCAATACTAAATTACTACAACCTATAAGAAAACCAAGCCCTACACACTGAGAAGATTTATTACCTTGCTTTTCCGAAAATATCACACACATCTGGGAAGGTTTCTCAATGAGACAAATCCGTTATTACGCTACAGTCCATCTCCTGGCAACACAGACACATCACATTTGCTTGGTATTTTCTACACTGATGCACTGCCTTATCTTCAAGGGTATTCAAGTCTAAGTACATTGTACTGTCAAAATAAATAAAATTGCAGAATAAAGAGCCAACAATTCTCAGTCAGAAAAGCATTGTCTACTGTAAGAGCAAAGCTTGGCATACCTCTAGATAATGAAATGCCCAACCTGAAACTAGACTTTTAGTTAGCAAAAAGTAAATACATCACTGCACTTTATCCTCATCTGCTTCTTGGTCAGCTAAGAGCAGCTTTATTCATCAAAATCCGTACTGAGAATAAAGAATTAAATGCACCACATAAGAATGTTTTTCAGTCAAAAGCACTTCTAAAAATATGAGTTATTTTCTTGGGGATAAGACATCTCCAGCTCACTAAATTCACCTCATATAAGTTGTAATGAATAAAGCAAGATATTCTTTAGATGCTACTTTACTCCACACAAGAGCATAATTTCTGCATATTCTGTCAGCTCAGACTCCTAGCTCACTTATACTATACATCACTGATGACGATTCAGGAAAACTTCTTATTCCCCTTCTCGCTGAAGATTTCATATTTTTGTAACAAACACTGTCAAGGACTTCCTTCACTGATCAAAGTTCTGCTCAACCTTAGCATCACTGCTTTGCCATGTAAGCCCAAAAGATATTTAAGATTTGTTAGGACAGTATGAGCAAGTTTCTGGGGACCCTGGCTCTCCAGTTTATTCTACAGATACTCTAAGGAAGATGCTGGAGGGTAAGGACAGCTTTAGATAAAGAATGCTTTAAGAGCTGTTATTATGCCCTTAATCCAAATTAAGGAAAAGTACTAATCATTACTGCATCTAAAATAAAACCTGAAGTGTTGCAGATTGCCTGAAGACATTAAAGCAAAAGAAAACTTCCATTCTCTTCAAAAAGCTATTAGCTGTTAATATGCGAAGATGAGCGAGATGAAACATGCAATATTATGGGATATATCAGCCTATAAAAAAAAGTTTTTCTCTACTATATATGTATGTAAAATGGGAACGGACAAAATATTTCAGTATCTCAAGAAGCATTCAGAAAATCCCATAAG